GATGATTCGCCGCGGCCCTCGATTCGCAATCGCGACCGTGATCGCATGGGCGGCCCGGAGAGAGGGGAGAGCGCCGCTGCCGCTGCTGCCGCTGCTTCTAGTGCTGCTGCTCGCGGTGGTGGTGGTGATGGTGATGGTACCCATAACCACACACACACACACACACACAGACACACAGAGGGAGAGAGAGAGAAAGAGTGCGAGTACGACTGTGCTGTGTTTGATGTGTTGTGTGCAGAGAACGGCGCTGCGATGCTGCCGCGATGGGCGAGAAGTGCCATGCAGGTGTCCATCCATCCATCCGTTCATCCATCCATCCATCCACAGCCATCCGTGTGTGGTGTGTTGTGTGTGGTGGGTGCAGGGTGCTGCTGCCGCTGCTGACATAGGTCGGAGGGAGGAGGAGATGCGGCATGACATGCCGCCCACCCCGCAACGCATCCGAAGACCTGGTCAGTACGCACCCCGCCCCTCGTCCCGTCCACGGCCCTCATCCCTCCTCCCTCCTCCCTCTCCCTCTCTGCACACGGGCGTGCGTGTGTGTGTGTTCTCACTCAGGCGACATGAGCCGAATGCGCAAGCCTCAGATGCCCGAAGGTCCGCCACCGCCCACGACACCTGCCCACACACCCATACAGACACCCAGACAGACAGACCTGCCTCCCTCCCTGCTGCGCTGCGTGTGTGTGGCGCCAGATCTGTTGGCCGAGATGAAGATGAAGATGGCCATGCGTAATGGTGGCGGTGGTCGTGGTCGTGGTGGTGGCGGTGGTCGGTCTGGCGGCATGGGGCGCTGGAGGGGGCGAGAGCGGTCGGACGACATGCTGCTTGACGACGACTTGGATGATGCAAACACGCCAGAGGTGCGCATGTGGATGTGGGGACATGTGTGTGTATGTGTGTGTGCGTGTCTTGACGGCTTCATTGCTCTGTGTGTGTGCAGTGCGATGGGTTCGGTACACTGGCGCCGCACAGCAAGTCGGGCGCAGCGGCTGCTGGCTCAGCTGCGGCAGCGGCGGCAGCTGCTGCCTCGGCTGGTGGTGGTGCTGGCGGTGGCGGGGAGGGTCGTGGGGGTGACGCGGCCGACGATATCGTGATGGAGGAAGATCCCTTTGAGAATGACAATGGCCATGACGGCCGCAATGACAATAGCAAAGAGGGTACACACACACACACACACCACCCATGTCTCTCTCTCTCTCTGTGTGTGTGTGTGTGGCACAGAGAGAGAGCTGCGGCCGCGCCAGAGAGCGCCGGCGCTCGAGAGGCGCTTCATCCGCGACTTCCCGAGCGACGACGGCTTTCTCCTCCCTGAACATATGAGACGGAGGTCCGCATGACAGACAGCGTGTGCAGGTCGTGGAGGAGGTGTGTGTGTGCAGGGGCCCTTCACCGCCGGCGTCTCGAGCAGCAGCAGCGGCGGATACAGACGAGAGTGAGTGCGGCGCCCCCATACCCACCCACACACCACACACATGGCTGAGCACATGGTTGTGTCGTATCTCTCACACAGAGATGGAGGATGCCTTTGCCAAGGAGGCTCCTGGAGACCAGGACCAAGACGATCGCAGCAGAGAGGGTACAATTACACTCTCACACACACACACACACACGCACTCCCCACCCCACCAATGTGTGTGTGCGTGTGTTGTGTGAGTACAGAGGGTCTTCGGCGCTTCTTCGCCAGACGGAGAGACCAGGACACCGCACGACAGCGACGCGTCATGGGCGGTGGCGGTGGTGGAGGAGGCCTCTGGGGAGATATCGACATCAACGCCGCGAGAGAGATGGCGTACGCACTCCACTCACTCACCAACCCACTCCACTCAGACACACACACGCGCACCTGTGTGGTGTGCAGGAGAGAGGATGCACCACCGCATGGCCCGCAGCTGCCGCCGCCCTGGTGGAGGGGGCGAGAGAAGGAGGACAAGAATGATGAGAACGACGAGCCGCAACCAGCTGCTGCCGCTGCCGCTGCCGCTAGTGCCAGTGGCGCTGGAGATGCTGATGGAGAGCGCGACGACAGGTGGGTGGATGAGGGGGTGGGGGGGGGCGCACACACACAGAACACACCACATGTGTGTGTGTGGCTTTGTGGTTGTGGCTGTGTGGTTGTGGTTGTGGTTGTGCGACGCAGCAGGCATATGTTGTTGGATGAGGAGGTAGCGTCTCGACGGGAGCTCAACGACGCTCGACGCGTGGAAAGCGACAGAGGACCGGTCAGTTCCCGCCCTCCCCCCCCCCCCCCCCCCC